TCCTTTGCAGAAACCCTCAGGGAAGTGTGAGCTATTAGTGCAGTAGCCTTTTTCTTCCATTTAGGAGCATGTGGTACCTTTTTCAACTTAGGTTTGACACCTGAGTTCTGATTAGGATATCCATGTAGTCTGAAGCAGAAGGGCTTTATGTGACCATATCTCCCACAATGATGACACCTCCATCTTTGGTACTTTTTCTTCATATGTCTCTGTTCCCGATGTTGATAGTGGTGTTGAGACATCTGATTTGACATTTGCTTGACATGCCTGATCTTCTTGTTTGTACCAGATTTCTTTGCTCCTACAAATCCTAGTCCAGATTTGTTTCCTCCACTTTGTCCAACTTGAAGTATCTCTTCCAGTTTGTCTGTTCCATTAGTCAGCATCTTGACAGATTTGGTCATTTGGTTCAGTTGTGAGTTCAGCAGTTGAACTTCTCCTTCTAAATGACTTATAGTTTCAAGATTTGCCCTCTTTTCAGCCTCCAGCTTTATAATGAGTTTTGATTGTTTCTCATTTTGCACACAGACTTCACCACTTCTGATACACAATTTCTTGTAGGTATCAGCCAGTTCTTCAAATGTCACTTCTTCATTACTAGTGTCACTTTCAGAGGGACAGATTCCAGTTAGAGCAGTGACAAGCTTGGCACATTCTTCTTCAGAATTACTTTCTGAATCATAGTCAGACCAAGTAACCGTCATTCCTTTCTTTTGTTTCTTAAGAAAGGTAGGACATTCAGCTCGAATATGTCCATATCCCTCACAGCCATGGCATTGAATATCTCTGCCTTGGTTTCCCTTTTCTTCTGACCTTGGTCTTCTGCTGGAACTGTCAATGTCAGAGGAAATGTTATGAACATTAGACCTTGACTTTGGATCCATTCTTTTGATGAGCTTGTTGAACTGTCTTCCAAACATGGCAATAGCTTCTGAAATATTTTCTTCTTCATCCACCTTGTTTTCAACATCAGTGTTGGATACAAGTGCTATGCTTTTGTTCTTCTTGTCACCATTATCAGTGATCCCCATCTCAAAAGTCTGGAGAGACCCAATAAGTTCATCCACTTTTAACTTGCTAATGTCCTGAGCTTCCTCTATGGCAGTTACCTTCATTGCAAATCTTTTAGGCAAGGATCTGAGAATCTTCCTCACCAGTTTTTCTTTTGACATTTTTTCTCCCAGTGCTCCTGAGGTGTTGGCAATCTCCAAGATGTTCATGTGAAACTCATGAATGGTTTCATCTTCCCTCATTTTTAGATTCTCAAACTTAGTGGTCAACATCTGAAGCCTTGACATATTTACTTTGGAAGTGCCCTCATGAGTAGTTTTGAGAGTGTCCCAAACTTCCTTGGCCAGTTCATATTGATGTACTAGTCTGAAGATGTTTCTATCAATTCCGTTGAACAAGGCATTTAAAGCTTTTGAATTTCCCAGAGCTAACTCATCTTCTTCTTTACTCCAATCTTCCTCAGGCTTCAGACTGATTGTCCCATCTTCCTCAGTTATGGTGGGATGGATCCATCCTTTGTCAGCAGCTCTCCAAGCTTTTTTGTCCAGAGATTTTAGGAAGGCAATCATACGAGGTTTCCAGTAGTCATAATTAGTTCCATCCAGAATGGGTGGTCTATTTCCAAAAACTCCTTCTCTGTCCATAGTGCCAGAAAGTGATATCCCTAGATCTCACCCAGTAATACAGGCAGGATGCCTGCTCTGATACCAATTGAAATTCTGGCTGCAGATACTCAATGTCATGTCCAATGTTATGACACCGTATCTGACTTACTATATGACAGTAAATACAAAAGCAGTAAAGAACACAGTCAATTGTTTACCCAGTTCAGTGTGCAACAACACCTACTCTGGGGGCTACCAAGCCAGGGAGAGAATCCACTATAAGAGATGTTAATTCAGGAATAAACCAACCAGTTTATCTCCTTCACTTAAGACCTACCCAATGCAATTCCAATCTAAGTACAACTTAAACCTGAGTACCAACTCACTCCCCCTCAATCACAGCAGTGATACATAAACCAATTTGACTCAATAATTGATGAAGACACTCTTCAAGACAAACACTTGATTAAGCTTCACAGCTTTTTAACCAAGCAACACAATCACTCGTGCTTCACAGCTTTGAGTGATGTACACAACTAACTTGACTCTGCTTTACAGCTTTAGTCAAGGGACATTCAAACACTCTTGCTTCAAAGCTTTGAGTGCTACACAACCCTTACAATCGAAACCTATTCCAAGACACTTATCACAATGATAATTGCTTGGAGTACAATAAATAAATCTAAACAGATTACAAAATTGATCTTCTAATCAATCAGCAGGGATCCTTGAAAAACAGCAGCTCTGTTGAATATATAGCAGCTGCAGCTTCAGTTAGGGTTTCCAAAAACCTAGGGTTAATTCCGTTTGACCTAAAGACCAGGTCACAGGACTTTATTAACCAGGTAAGGGATGAGCTAGGTTGCTCCTCAGAAAACGCAGGATTCTGTTCAGAAGGGACTAAGTTATTTCCTGAAAAAACTCAGACTTATCCAATCCTGCAATCCTGTTAGTTCAGAACAGGATGTCATAACATCTGTTATGACATCTGGGAAAACCTGTCTACTGATTTAGCAAAATGTGATCATTTTGCAAACATGCTCAGATACACACTTATAACCATCAGTATTTGAATTACAATATTTTTCTGCACATGTACCTAATGAGTTAGTACAACCTGAACTAGAATGTTATGACATCAGTCATGACATTCACACATACACTTGAGATTTACCAAAAATGCAAGCCAATACCTAAACACCTACAGTATGCTTTCGCTATCCCATTGATTTTAAAATTACTTTTTGAAAATAAATAAAGTTTAATTGGTTTTAAAACGCTGTCGCAGTCTTTAAAAACAATACCTAGTATCTACTATCTGATTTTAAACCTCAAACTGTCGCTCTATTGGTTTCTAATCTTAGTCAGTTTATTAGCCTCAAACTTTCGCTCTGTTGGTTTCTAAACCTTTTTTAACAAAATAAATTAGATAACTAAATCAGAAAAAGTGTTTATTTTATAAAATATAATCAAGCCTGTTTGTTCTGGATCCATTCAAATTAACTCGTTACATACCGATATTTAAATAATTTAGCCAGACATACTCATAAAAGCAGACATGAATACATTAAAGGAATTAACATTCGTAAATAAATTCATGGCTAAATAAATATCTCTCATGCAAATAATTAATTAAATAAATTAAAACGATGTAAATAAGAAACCTGAATTAAATAAATGCTGGAAATAATTCTTGAAGCTTGAATCAATTCGTACAAAATCCCGGTTCTTCAACAGAAATAGAATTTAAGTATTTGAAAAGGAACTGGCTGGAAAATAACTGCTGGAAACTGAATTACAATGGAAAATAATAATGCGGGAAGGTAAATTCTGAAACTGAAAAATAATGCTAAAAAAAACGCCCCCAATTTTGATTTCCTGATGTCCTTTTATAGTGGTAGAATGTAACCACGTTTTGAGATATTTTCGTATCCCTTTTCCCCAAATTTCTCGTTCTAACTTGACCACGTTGAGACGGGCGCCTCAATTGTCATCCTAGGGCCTACGTGGAAGTTGAGACGGACGCCTCCCACTAAGGGGAGGGTCCGAGGCGGGCGCCTCAATTGTAGGAGAAGAGTTGAGACGTGCGTCTCACTCTTGCACGTGCCTTTAGGGCTCTCTTGCTTGCATGAGCCTGATTTCGTTTGGGCCCAGTTTGGAGATAATAAACCTTTTGATCCATCATTTTTGCTTTGCACACCCCTTTTCTTCATTTCTTGCATATTTAGTCCAATAACTCTCTTAATTTCTTCACTTTGCTCAATTTGTCTAATTAAAATAAAATACCTGAAACAATAAGAATACCGGCGTAATATGGAAATAAAATGAAATAATTAAATAAAAATACTAACATTATTTATGAAAATTAAATCAAATATACTATATAAAATTGTGTTATCACACATGTTTTCAAGGGTGAAGATTTGAGTCTTGAAAGTATACTTCTCTGAAATTCATACCGAGTTTTGTTCTGGCTTTAAACTTTGTCTCTGTAAGTGAATGGTAGGATTAGTTATTATAATTGTGGCAAAGTCGGATATCAAACTTTGAAAAAAAATCATGCAAAATATCAGTAATATCTATTACTCCAATTAAGAGTTGAGAGATAATCATCATTTTACAAAAATAGAAATAAATTAGACTACACAACATAAATGTACCAAGTCTAATAATGTTGAAACTTCAACACAGGGTCATAAGTTATTTTTATAGAAACTTACTCTTTTAAATGTTTAAAATATACATGAGATACTTGTTAACAATAACATTTTCCTTTTTATTTTGATATGATAAATGTGTGTTTTGGAATTCATGCGATACTTCCAGGTTTCAAATTAAACCCATGCCTCATAATCATCAACACCTCTGTACATTTGAGCAGAATCACGGTCAGCATTATCGCATCTACTTGTGGCTAACGCTGAAAAAAAATATCTCTGTTCATGTCATTTCCAAGACAGTAATAATTTACCAATTTTCCTGGACTACAATGCATTCCAAGTTTCCACGTGTTCTCATGTGAAGTCTAGAACTTGCTCGTCCTTTTACTACTGCACATGCTATAAAAACCTCACACGCTTTATTCCACTTCTTACATCTTACATATCATTCAAAATATCTCTCTACAAACTGCAACCATAATTATCGTTATTTCGTCCTTTTCAACACTTCACAACTTAATCCTTTTATTTTGCGGTGAGTATTACTATAATACTTTTGTTTATGGCGGTGGTGTAGTTGTGAAATGCAAGAGTTTTCTTGTTTTTTGCTTCTACATACGTGTGTTCACTAGTTTGGTTCGGTGACACCGACTTGAGTCTAGAAATACACAAGTCTAACTCTTAAGCATATAGTTTCTTTACTCTTTTTTTTTGTATAACGACCATGCTAAGGACAACAACGTCAGTAGCTTCACAACAATACTCCAACAGGTGGATAAGGATTCCTCCTTCATGTCTGCCGCCACCAAGTCGGAAAATCTCTAATTCACGCTTAACCTTTAGTACATATCATCATAATAACTCCCTAGGTCCATCTCACATGACTCAATTTTTCCAGTTTTTAACGAAGATATTGATATTGAAATAATGCTTATGACAGTGACAGCGACAGAGACGGTTCTTTTTTTCTTTAATTTATGGTTTTCATGTGTAATGTGACATATTGATATGTGTCTGTTTGTTGCAGTGTTCAAGTGTTCCAACATGACAGTGACACCTAAGATATCGGTTAACGACGGGAATTTAGTGGTTCACGGGAAGACCATATTGAGTGCAGTTCCAGACAATATTGTTTTAACACCAGGAACTGGAAAAGGCATTGAGACCGGTGCTTATATTGGTGCTACTGTTTCCAATACCAAAAGCATCCATGTCTTTCCCGTAGGTGTCTTACAGTAAGTTCTTTTACTACCATTTACTACATTAATTTCTAATACTCCTAAAGCAATCTTAAGTTTTTGGACCAACCTCTGTATAGGTTAGCCACAGTTCAACAATGATAAAATAATTAGAGATCCTATTTTAAGAGACCATATTTAACTACGGTTTGACATGACAAATTTTAGGCCATGTCAAATTTTAGGCCATGTGCGGTAGTGCCTTCAAAAACGACCTTGAATATTCTTATTCTTATTGGTTGGTTATATTCGGTTGAAATGATAGAGTAGGTTTCATGAGTTGAATTCATTTATGAACAGGGATCTCCGATTCTTGTGTTGCTTCCGGTTCAAGTTATGGTGGATGACACATAGAGTAGGAACTTGTGGAAGAGATATCCCTCTAGAAACCCAATTCATACTTATAGAGATCAAAGACAGTAAAAATCAGCACGAAAATTCTCCGGTCATTTACACTGTCTTGCTTCCTTTATTGGAAGGCCAGTTCCGTGCTGTCCTACAAGGAAATGACAAAAATGAGATAGAGATTTGCCTTGAAAGTGGTGAGTTCCAAACACGAAATGGTGATGAGATGAAGCTATGATTAATGAAAATACTGTTTTATGGAGAAATCTTTCTATAACTACCAATTTGTTAAATAAAGCAAATGGAGTTTATAGCTTTGGAGAACCGAAATGGTTTTTTTTTTTGCTTTTGGTGTGTGGATTTGCAGGAGATCCTGCTGTTGAGACCAATCAAGGCCTTCACCTGGTGTACATGCATGCAGGAACCAACCCTTTTGAAGTCATCAGTCAAGCTGTCAAGTGAGGCGTTTTTCTCTTTTTGTCTATATGATCTTTTCTCTGTTTCCTATGCTATTCAAAGGTCATTTACAGTTATAGAAAATAGAATTTTTCTCTCATTTGGTGAAATTGTGATTTGTATTTTGACAAATGTGGTGTTACTGATTCATTAAGGGCTGTAGAAAAACACATGCAAACTTTTCTGCATCGAGAGAAGAAAAGAGTAAGAATCTTATCCTTGCAAAGCAATATCACCAATAGATCCATCTTTTAGCCATGTAAAGGATTTTTTAACATTTTTATCGGTTGGTTTTACACAGTTACCGTCTTTCATTGACTGGTTTGGCTGGTGCACATGGGATGCTTTCTATACTGATGTCACAGCTGAGGGTATTGAAGAAGGATTGAAAAGGTAATTTGTGAGAGAAACATGAGTGTTTTGGTTTTCTTTTTTATGGTAAGTGAAAAGAGATCAAGATGATGTTCAGAGACACTAACTAGTTACTGAAGTGCTGCATTTTGTTTCACTTTTTTGCTTTAAGCTTATCAGAGGGAGGCGCATCTCCTCGGTTCCTCATCATCGATGATGGTTGGCAACAGATTGAGAGTAAACCAAAAGATGCCGATTCTGTTGTACAAGAAGGAGCACAGTTAGATTTTATCTGTTTCTAAATTTAACATTTTTCATGCTCGTTTCGTAGTCACAGTCCTGATTTAGATTTGTATAATCTATCCTTTGGATGATGCGATGATTGCAGGTTTGCGACAAGGTTGACAGGTATTAAAGAAAACACCAAGTTTCAAAAGAATGGTGGGAGAAAAGGCCTGGAGCATGTTGTAGATCAAACAAAGGAACTTCACAATATGAAGTATGGTCTAGCATCCTTAAATCCTATAAATTATTTCAAAGTGATTAGTATTCTTCGGTTGTTGAGTTATGTGACAGAAGAATGACCATGACTTGATTGGTCATTTTATGTTTCTGGGTTTTTGGAATTTTATGGCAGGTATGTATATGTTTGGCATGCTCTTGCTGGTTATTGGGGTGGAGTGAAGCCAACAGCAATTGGAATGGAGCACTTCAACACTTGTGTGGCATACCCTGTACACTCTCCGGGCATTCTAGGAAATCAACCAGACGCCGTAATGGACAGCTTGACTGTCCATGGCTTAGGTCTAGTTCATCCGAAGAAGGTCTTTGATTTCTACAATGAGCTCCATGCTTACTTAGCTTCGTGCGGAGTAGATGGAGTGAAAGTTGATGTGCAAAACATTATCGAGACCCTTGGTTCAGGACATGGCGGAAGAGTCTCAATCACACGTAGCTATCATCAAGCACTTGAGGCCTCTATAGCTCGAAATTTTTGTGACAACGGATGCATTGCTTGCATGTGTCACAATACTGATGGCCTCTATAGTGGCAAGCAGACTGCTGTAGTGAGAGCCTCTGATGACTTTTACCCACATGACCCTGCTTCTCATACCATTCATGTTTCATCGGTTACGTATAACTCAATTTTCCTTGGAGAGTTCATGCAACCTGACTGGGACATGTTTCATGTAAGTAGAAGTGATCATACTAGTCAGTGAATCTACATTTTGAGTACCTGTTAATAGCGATATTCTTGTTAACAAAAGTATATTGGTAATTTCAGAGTTTACATCCAGCAGCCGAGTATCATGCTGCAGCTCGTGCGATAAGTGGAGGTCCAATTTATGTCAGGTAGTATATTGACATTCATTGCAGTTCTTGTTCAACATTTGGTTATACATGAGTATATGTACTAATATCATGTTATTTATGTTGCTTTTATAGTGATAAACCAGGAAGGCACAATTTTGATCTTCTAAAGAAACTGGTTCTTCATGATGGCTCGGTTCTCCGTGCTCAGCTACCTGCCCGACCCACTGTTGACTCTCTCTTTGTTGATCCAGCAAGAGATGGGAAAAGGTTTGTTAAATATTCTATCTCATATTCACTGATATGAGTTTGACCTTGTAACTTCAAGAGAAGGAGTTCAGATCCTATCAGGGACACTCATTGATAAGAGTTTTTCCTTAGTAGCTACTAGTTAGTATGCTTCAATCTTGGATACTTTCATTTTCAGCTTGCTCAAGATATGGAACTTGAACAAATATTGTGGAGTTGTTGGTGTATTTAACTGTCAAGGTGCTGGGTGGTGCAAGATAGAAAAGAAAAACCGTATTCATTGCGAAACCCCTGAGACACTTACTGGCTCTGTCTGTACCTTCGATGTTGACCTCATTGCTCAAGTAGCTGGTGCAGATTGGAATGGGGACGCTGTTGTCTATTCTTACAGATCAGGTAATTTCTTCGAGCATAAAATCTTTGAATTTCAAGAAGTGAATCTACTGTAAAATTCAACTTTATCAAAATATTGACTAGCATCCCCATTTTAGGCAACATAATTCGGTTACCGAAGGGTGCTTCAGTGCCAGTGACATTAAAAGTTCTAGAATATGAGCTTTTCCATTTCTATCCAATCAAGGTATTGTGAATAATGCAGTCTTAATTGTGTTATATTTTCGTTGAGTTTTGATTTGGTGCCAATGAACATGATAGCTGAATGAATTGATCCTTTTTGACAGGAAATCGCGCAAGGTATTTGGTTTGCGCCGATAGGGCTGTTGGATATGTTCAACACAGGAGGAGCTGTGGAACAGTTGGAAATCTATAAAAATGAATGTGGAATGGCTGGTGAAGAAGAAGTAGCTGCATCAGTTAGCCTAAAAGTAAGGGGAAGTGGAAGATTCGGGGTTTACTCTTCCCAGAAGCCAGTGAAGTGTGTGGTGGGTGATAATGAAAATGAGTTCAACTATGAGTCAGAGACTGGGTTGACAACTTTCTACATCCCAGTTTCAGTTGAAGACATGTATAAATGGTCAATAGAGATACAGTTTTGAGTTATGGACCATTGTGAGAAGTTTTCATTATGGGAATTTCTGGGTTGAAGGTGTTATTTTGGGTTATAAAATGACATATAGAAGTAGGGAATTTGAAGGCTTAGGTTGTAAATAATGGTTGTTCCTTATGTTTTTACCGTTATTTACTGTTATTTTATTTTCAATAATGAAAGTCCATGATAACTACTGATGTCGACAAAATTAGCTATAAGATATGCTATTGATATCATTTCTGAAGTCAGCCCCCATGATAACTACTTATTACGAATCAAAACAATCATCTTTGATTAGCAGAAAATTAACATTAAAATATATAAAATAAAATAAAAAATTTAAAAACATATAATAATATATGATAATAATAATAATAAGATAAAGATATAAAAATACAAGAAATATAAGAAAAAGATAAAATTTGTTTAATATAGAATTTTTAACATATTAATAAAGTTAAATTTATATTTAAATAAATAATAATGGATAAATATGTAAAGACAATTATGATTAAAATGAAACTCCTCTTCTCCATTTCAAATTTCTCCAAATCAGAGAAATCAAAAAAGGGTTCAAAATGGATTTTGATCCCTTCTATCTAGGGATGGCAAAAAAATCTCTATCCGCTGATAAAATCTGTTATGGATATGAGATGGATAACCGTAGATAAAATAAATGGATATTTAGATACCCGTTATTTAATGGATATGAATACGGATTTAATAATATCCATACCTGCGGATATCTGTATCCGTTAATTAATTATAAAAGTTATTTAAATATTTATATATTTTACTAAGTCTTATCATCTTCCAAAAGAATTTGGTCTCTTTTTTTTTATGTTTTCTTTAAAAAAAATTATATTCCATAATATATTATAAACTTTACTTTTCCATTTCATAATTAATTTATTTTATATGATCATTTCTCTTGCCTTCTCAAACATGCCTTGCAACAAATAGGGAAAGGAATGCATAATATGGAATTTTACAATGATTGATAAAAACTATCGGCATCATTACTTTTTATTTTGTTTGGAACAATTATTATATGCTATGATGAATATTGTTTTGGTTAAAAATTATGGATATTCTATATGGATGTTATTATGTTTTGGTGAAAAAGACAAATATTAATATGATGAAAATTTGTTATTAAATTGAGACTAAATTGTATAAATGTTATATGATAATAATTTTTTTGTGTCTTTAAAAAAAACTGAAAAAATATTTTTTTTTTAAATAATTTTAGAATAAAATGTTATCCACGGATATCTGTAAATATCTGCGGGTATCTTAAAACCCGTGGATTACCCGCTTAGTAGATATCTGCATAGATATAGGGTGAATATGGATATCATATTTATCCAACGGAACGGACACGAATATCATATTATCCGTCTCCATAGATATCCATTTACATCCGTACTTCTATCTGCTATTCCCCCTCTCTTAAAATTTAAATAAAACACATAAACTATTAAATATTTTCTCCCATTCTTCTCCCTTCCATTTACCTCAATCAAAGAGACTATAATGGACTTAAATAGACTCTAATTAGTTTTTAATCTAAAACAAAAATAAACTTAAAAATTGTTTAAATATTAAAATAGAAAATTGCTTAAATATTAAAATGCTTTCTGACGCATGATTTTTTCTTTGATGCGCGCAATCAACCTTCTTACATCAATCTCTTTCACATTTGAAGAACTCGACCCCAAGTTCTCTTTTTGATAAAGAGTCTCATCTGCTTGATACTCATGAATGTCAGCAACATTAAATGTATTGAATATATTCATGACATTCGGGAGAGTTATCACATAAGAATCATCATTGATTTTTCGAGTCACTTTGAACATGCCATATTTGCGTGGTTGTAACATGCTATAAGTACCAACCGAGAACCTTTCTTTGTGCAGAAACGACATCACATCGTCTCCTATATTGAAAACTTTGACTCTCTTGCATTTGTCAACAACTACTTTATTCGTATGTCTAGTAGCCTTTAACTTAGCCTTTACAACTTCTTTAATAACTACCATTTCCTTGGTCATATTATTAGCAGACGCACTAACTCAGGTGCTTTAGGCAACTTAACCAAATAAACCAATGCTTAGGAACAAAAGTGTAGACCAGAGAGAATGGTGATTTCCCTATAGCTGAATGCACAATGTTGTTGTAAGCAAATTCAATCTAGGGAAAAACTAAATCCCACTGTTTCAACTTGTTAGTACAAACACTACAAATCATATTTCCCAAAGTTCTATTAGTTACCTCAGTCTGTCCATTTGTTTGAGGATGAGATGTATAAATCCTGTTCAACACGGTTCCAAATAATATCCTAAGAGTAATCTAGAAATGACCGAGAAATATGGTGTCTCTGTCTGAAGTAATTGACTTAGGAACCCCATGAAGACGCACAACCTCTTTGAATAACAATGTTGCTTTGTTTGACGCATCAACAATCTTCTTACAAGAAATGAAGCAGGCCATCTTAGAGAATTTGTCTACTACAACGAACACATAATCTACTCGCCGTGTACGAGGCAAGCCCAATACAAAATCCATGGCTAAATCTTGTTAAATATCACCAGGAATAGGTAAAGGCATATAAAGACCAGTATTTAGATACTAACCCTTAGAAACTTGACATGTATAACACCTCATGACTATAGTACCAACATCCCTCTTCAAGTGTGGAAAATAATATCTCTTTTACATGCTAACAATGGTCTTGTCTCTATCTAGATGACCGTTAAAACCACAACCATGCAGGTATCGAATTAGCTTCTCTCTTAATGAGGAGAAAGTAATGCATAATTGATCCCCTTTAAAAAGATGGCCATCTTGAATATGAAAATTTGAACAAGGATGTTTTCTATGGCACTTGGTCCATAAATCCTTGAAATCAACATCATTTTCATATAACTCTTTCAGGCACTCAAAACCTACTATCTCTTACACTAAGGTAATTATCAAGGAAACCACATACTCAATGTATCTGTTACCTTGTTAACAGCCTCCGACGTATGCCATATAATAAAAGGAAATTTCTCCGTAAAATTCACCTATCAAGCATGCATCTTATTTATCACCTTCAGGATATGAAGAAACTTCAAAACTTGATAGTCGGTGAATAGAATGGACTCCTTATGAATCAAATAATGTTCCCACTGCGTATAACTCTAAAGAATGCATAAAATTCCTGATCTTAATTACTCCATTTTTAACGAGCATCGCTTAATTTTTTGGCTGAAAAAGGCTATAAGTTTCTTCTCCTGCGATAACATAGCTCTTATTCCCACTTCACTAGCATCACATTTAACTTGGAACACCTTGTCAAAATCAGTAAGTTCTAATATCGGTGCGGTACATAGCTTCTCTGTAGTCAGTGCAAAACTCTGCTCTTGCTCAAACCCCCATTTGAACTTCCCTTTCTTCAAACATTCGGTAATATATGCGGCGATAGTACTGAAATCTTTGATAAACATCCTATAGAAGGTGGCCAGACCATGAAAGCTATGAACCTCAGTCATGGATCTAGGTGCAAGAAACTCCCTTATTGCACTCACCTTATCTTCATCAACATGAATTCCTTCTTTACCAATGTTGTACCCCAAAATTTTCCCTCTCTTTTCTCAAGACATTTCTCACCAAAAGATCTCAAATGCTCAAGAAGTTTCAAGAGTTGATCAACAAGCTCACCTCCTAAGCACTAAGACCATAAATCAGGGTTTTGGTTTTCACAAGGGAAATTGGACTTTTAATGCCTCAAATGACTTTTTTGGTTCATCATAGACCTCTAAGAATGCTCATGCCAAGTTTCAAGTCTTGCATCTCAAAATTGCTCAGTCAATTGCTCAGATGACTGAAAATCAACTGTATTAGGTAAAAAGTCAAATATGGTCAACATACAGTCAAACTTCATGATTTTTGGTCCCCGTCAACATTTTGAAGTCATATTCATCAATTCAACAAGTGTTGATCACAATGCCTCAAGAAAAGTACTCAAAACATCAAAGGGGCAAAATTGTCAAAATTAGGGTTTTGACTGAGAATGACTGATCATTGACTTTTGACCTAGTACACGACCTAATGGATTGAAGCATAATCTCAAGGACTCAAGCATAACATGTTGACCTAATTTCACGGCTCAAATCATTTCTCAAGATCAATGGATTGATAGTTGAAATTTGATCAACTGATGAAAAGTCAACTAATACAAAAAAAGTCAAACTTTGACTTTTTGGTCAATATTGAATTTCAAAGATAGAAATTCATCAAGACACTCAAAAATATCAAACTTGGTCAACAAGAATCAAGAAAGTCCATAAAAAGTCAAATTTTTCAATACTTAGAAAAAATTCTAAGTTTTTTAACCTTGATCATTTCACTACTTCATGATAATTTTTCACCATGATGCAAGATGATTCAAGGAAAACTTTCAACATGAAAGTTGTAGATCTTGATGAATTCTACAACTTTGACCCTTAGGGTTGATGTCCAAAAAATGTTTAGATTTGAAGATATAGGCACATGAAGTCATGACATTTTTTATAAACACTTAGTGAAATTTTCAACAAGTTTATGCAGATTTTTTGTCCTAACTTCTTGGCCAATTTTCATCAAGTTCCAAGTTGATTTAGACAAAGTGTTCAACATGAAGGTTGTAGACAATGTTTCAAACTTTCCAAAATTTCTAAGAACTTGAAGAGATCATGCTTGAGCTAGAAGTTTCGAAAAGAGATGAAGATGGAATCATAAACTTGAATTTTAGGTCATTTTTGTGAAGAACACATGATCAAATCTCCAACCGTGCTGCATAATCTTGCTTTTCAAGCCTTCAAACTTGAAAGTTACTCAATAATTTAACATTTAAACAACTTTTTGATCCATTGTCCAAGTGGTTCAAGCATTGTCCAAATTGACTTTCCATTTAAGGAAGAAAGGTCACACTTCCATTTTGGAGAAGCAAGCTTTATGAAAATTATCAATGCATTAAGCCTT